GCAAGCCCTGACACAAATTATGCACTAGCTGCTCTTGTGCAGCAAGCCCTCTCCCCAGATAGGTGGCCGAAGGCGACCTACGAACTTGCATGGGCGCCTGGGGAGGGCTCCGGCCCGTGTCCTATTCCCAGCTCTGCTGCGGACCTGCTGGGCCCCTTTCCCCAAGTCGATTCCTCGCCAAACAGTTCCAAGTGCAAACCCAATTTCCCAGCTGCCGAATTCACTCGCCAAGCCCCGCAGGTGATTGGCTTTAGCGGGTTTGTACTGGGGCTGCCCCGGGAGCCTCCATCCTGGGCTACGCCCCTACGGTGCTAGGTGCTGCACAGACCGAGAAAAAAGGCAGTCCCTGCCCCAAAGAGCTGGCAATCTAAGTAGAAGGCACAAGGCACCAGATGGAGGACGCAACACAAGAAGGGAACATGGGTCAGCAGCTGACTACGGTTAGCAATAAATCGCTCAGTATCTAGATTCCAGGCGGCTGTAACAAAACCACACGCAACACGCCCAGAGAGCACCCCCAGTGTCGGCGGCGCTCGGAGCTCCCCAGGATCAGGCGGTGGTAGGAAGGACTCAGTCAGTAACATAGGAACCATAGTGGAGAACAGTTATGAAAGCAAATGAAAACCCGGGACAGACACACTGGACAAGGTCCTGCAGACGCAGAGACGTGTTACCCCCCTGGTGGACCAGTGAGAGCATCAGCAAATACTAGCCCGGGGTGACGTTTTCCATCTGAGATAGCGTCCGGATGAAAAATGCAGAGTTGCTGCCACCCAAAATATTTTGCAAATGTGTATCAAATTCATTGCATTGTTTCCACTGAACCCTGCCCTGGAAAATCCCTCCCCTATTTGGAAATGTTTCACGTCTCCTTTTTGGAGGCCAAACCTTTCGATTTTTCCATTCCAGACAATTTTCCGTTGCACGTTTTACTGCAACTGGCTTTTTTAAAAGAGCGCGCCACAACTGAGACCCAGCCCAAAACGAGTCACACGGACCTTTGTGTTCCAAAACCCAAGCCCACCCGAAAAACGTGCGTTCGGGGGCAACCTGACGTTACTTCCCCTTTCCCCATTTTTTCAAAACTGCTTTCCGTTTCCTGTTCCTCGGTTACAAGGCTAGACGGGACCACCGTGATCCCCGAGTCTGCCCTGGCGAGCAGAAGGCCCGAGAACTTCCTCCAAAGAATTCCCAGAGCAGAGCTGGTCAAAAGCATGGCGGAAAGGGATCTAGGGGTCATAGTGGACCACAAGTTGAATATGAGTCAACAGTGTGATGCTGTTGCAAAAAAAGCAAATATGATTCTAGGTTGTATCAACAGGTGTGTTGTAAGCAAAACTCGTGAAGTCATTCTGCCGCTCTACTCTGCACTAGTTAGGCCTCAGCTGGAGTACTGTGTCCAGTTCTGGGCGCCACATTTCAAGAAAGATGTGGAGAAATTGGAAAGGGTCCAGAGAAGAGCGACAAGAATGATTAAAGGTCTAGAGAACATGACCTATGAAGCCAGGCTTCATGAACTGGGCTTGTTTAGTTTGGAAAAAAGAAGATTAAGGGGGGACATGATAGAGGTTTTCAAATATCTAAAAGGGTGTCACAAGGAGGAAGGAGAAAATTTGTTCCTCTTGGTTTCTGAGGACAGGACAAGGAGTAATGGGCTTAAAGTGCAGCAGGGGAGGTTTAGATTGGACATTAGGAAAAAATTCCTAACTGTCAGGGTGGTCAAATATTGGAATAAATTGCCAAGGGAGGGGGTGGAATCTCCCTCTCTGGAGATATTTAAGAACAGGTTAGATAGACATCTGTCAGGGATGGTGTAGACAGAGCTTGATCCTGCCTTGAGGGCGGGGGGCTGGACTCGATGACCTCTCGAGGTCCCTTCCAGTCCTATGATTCTATGATTCTAAAAACCATCCCGTCAGGATTGAAAAAATGCCAGCGATGGAGACGCCACTAGGACCCTCGACAAGTTGTTCCAAGGGCCGATTGCTCTTCCTGAGAAAAAGAGACCCTCTATTCCCTCCCAGCCACTGGCTGCTGGCCAGTCTTCCTCTGTGGGTATGAAGAGCCCGCTATCAAGTATTTGTTCCCCGTGTCGGAATTTACTGACTGATCAAGTCACCCTTAACCTGCTCCTTGTTAAGCTAAATAGCATCAGCTCCTTGCGTCTCTCACGCGCCAAGGCAGGTTTTCTAACTCACCTTTGGGACTCTTCTCTGAACCTCCTCCGAGCTACCCACATCGGTCCAGACTGGCCCGGGAAGGGAAGCCAACGCAGGCTGTGACCCCGACACGGCAATCGATCCATGCAGGGCATGGGGCTGTGCGGGCGCAGTGCCCATGTGCATGGATTGGCTTGCAGGACCGATCACTCTCGCCATAGAGCAGCGATGGGAAGACCCCTGAAAGACTGCGACCCCCCGGTCCCTGTTTTACCCCTGTGCATTCAGGGGTTGCTGCTCTTCGCACCGAGCGGCTGCCGGGATGCGGGGCGGGCGCTCTCGATAAGCACTCGCTCGCGCC